GGCTGATTATTATTGCCGCCACCCCGAAGCTCACGATCCTGCGTCCGATAAGCCCCGTCCTGCTGGACCCTGAAACCTTAATTAAGATTTAATTCACGGCCCTACTCCCGATAAATAGCCGTATATATCACGAACAGCGCCTCCTACTCGCTAAGAGACTTGGGTTTAGGAGGGGGGTACTGTCACGGTATCGACCGCGACACCCTACCTACCGAAATTCTGCCGCAGATTGCTACAACTCCAGCAATCTGCACCGGCCTACTACCGTTGGCCGGCCTCCTGCCCTGCCTGCCCTGCTCCGCTCCCGTCTCGCTTCCGCTTCCTATCCTGTCCCGCTCCAGCCACCTACCGGCTGCCCCCTTTTCCTATCACCTGATCTGGTAAGGACCTCGCGTACACGCGTGCCACGCGCCGAAACGGCATAGAGGCCGTACGCCACGCGCTCGGCCACGCCCTTATATCCGGTGGCCCGTCTCCCGTCTTCCTGTTCCTTACACAATGTCTTGATTCTCCACGTAGCATTGTACATAGCACCTAATCAACGCTCCTCTTTGAGCCCTCGACCTCTTGCGTGTAGCGCTATCGTGATAGTCTACGGATCTGCGTATAAAGATAAAGTAGGAAGCTAAGCAAGCGATATACTCTCTAGCTATGTTTCCCTCTAATAAGTTATATTACAAATCACCTTCCCTACAATATGCCTTTTTTGATTTAGGCAAGAACTTCCGATATATCTTCTTAACATAAACTAACGTCTACGCGAAAGGGGTATCTGGCTTGTTTCCGCCGTTGGATCTTCACCTGGGCCGAGAATAATGTCAGCGCCTTATCCTTCCTAGAGCCCGAACTTCCTCTAGCTTACAGTGTTTATTCTTATTCGGAGACTGAGGTGGATGCCGCTTCTACACCTAATACCAATAATGCTATCCCTTAACCCGTCGAGGCGCAACGCTCGGGCCAACGCCAAGCGAACATTATTCTTAGATATACAAACATTGTCAGGCATAACAATTAACCAGAACCCACCTAAAAAGACAGCAATTAATGCCTAATTATGCCCAGAATATTAAATGATATTAACTATGCCAAATGGAAGGATTCTCGTACAAAACAAGCGAAAACACCCCCCCCAAAGCCGGCGCCGCTGCCCGAGTTCTCTCCGCTCCGCATTAACAGTTGGCATGCTCCAGGGAGAGCCTCTATGCCCTCTGGTCTTAATCGGCATAATCCTATGGCCATTTTTAAGCTATTCTTTACCAATAAAATAATGGAGAAGATGGTGCAGTGGACAAACGAGCATGCAGAACAGCACCGGCCCACCAACGTGCGCCTGCCACGGCCATGGAAGCCAACTATAAGGCACGAGCTCTATGCCTATTTTAGAATACTTATTTATATAGGAGTTACTATGGAGAAGCGCGTTAAGGACTATTAGGGCCCTAGATTACGTGGTGCTAGCTATATAGTAAAAGACTATATTTTAAAGACCTGGTTTAAGCAGATTAATTAGTACTTTTAGTGCTCTTCTATGCCCTAGAATAGATTCTATTTAATATTTAAGCATATAGATAAGCTCTCTAAGTATCTATAAGTACACAGCTGCATATACTGGACCCTAGGCCCTTACCTTACTATTAATAAAACAATATAGAGGTTTATAGGACGGGCTAGCAAAATTGTTAATATTCTATCTAAACCAACGCCGGAGGGGTTTAAAATATAGGTTCTTGTAAATTAAGGCTATATTCTTAATTAGCTATAGCATGCTAAGGGAGATAAGAAAGGCCCTATTAACCTTAACAAATTATTTCTTACAGAAGGCTTTACTAAAATATAAGCCGTTGTGCTTAATCTTTTAACACAATATAATTCTATTATAAATTAACCCCTTTATCCACCTTATAAGCACGTAGTTTAGCTAGATAATCTTTTCTCTAATATAAAGCTATCTAAGAGGCTCCGTAAGCTTAGAATAGGAGCAGCTGGCACCGTGCGTACAACTAAAATAAAGAGAGAAGAGATGGAAGGAATTAAGATAAATATTGTTGCTATTAAGGAACAATCTAGCGCTTTACAACGCTAGATAAAGAGGAAGAAGATTAAGCCTGCAGAGAGCTTCTCTCTATTGCTTATAGACCTTAAGTTAAGCTATAATAGGTAAATTCCATAGGGCACGCTATATAGCAAGTTGTTAAAGAGTTATAAGGTAATGGAATTCGCCTGGAAAGATGCAACAATAGTCTTATTCCTGTCTACTGTGCATAACGGGAAGGATTATATTGCTAAGCTACGGAAACAACCTATAAAAACAGCTACAGGATATTATTAAACGGTGAAGATATTTAGTAAAAAGGCGCAGGCGTGGCTTAATATTCCAGTAATAATTAATAAGTATAACCTCTGGATGTGCGGCGTGGACGTGGCAGACCAGATGCGCAGCTATTATAATACAAATCGTGTCCACAGAAAGACATGGAAGCTATTGTGGAGTTTCCTGTTGGATACGGTTGTGGGCAATAGCTACATGCTCTTATTATACAGGCCCGAGCCGGGCTCAGGCGAGCGCGCATTACGCCAAGATACTCATCTACAATTCTGTCGAGACCTACGAGACAAGCTCCTACATGCATCTATTCGCTATCGCCAGCAAGATTCTATGCAGAGAGCGAAGGGGCCTATGGATCTTGTTTGGAGACCGGTTAATAAGCATCAGCATGTTAA